TATTATATTTAAAGAAGCTTAGTTTTTCTTTGAAGATGTTATATGACCTCATCCGTCATTATATTTTCACCTGTTACACCTTGTCATATCTCTTCTCCTTCAGATCCCCCCTTCTCTCTCTCTCTCTCTCTCTCTCTCTCTTTCTCTCTCTATGCTATCTCCGTTTCCCTCACACCCTTCATCCCCCCTTTTTGTCATCCCATCTCTGTACATTTCATTCAGACATTCATTCTCTCTCTCGCTCTCTCTCTCTCTCTCTCTCTCTCTCTCGGTTTATGATTTTTAACAATTAACACATATCTCAGGCATGGCATGTTTTATCCACTTTATAAATCGTAACAGGGTATCAGGCTACCTGGTCGTTGAAAGTGTTAATATTTCAAATAGTTTTCATCGAGAAGGTTAAAAAAGATCTGTACCATTGGACAAGGGTGGTAATAAATAAAAATGACTTCAACAACAAATAGTACTCACCTCCTTAGTGACTGGCTGATGTTAGGACCGTGTTTCTAGATTCGTACCAATATAGAGTGAACGGGAATGAGCTCAGACCGCTGTAGCACCCTGGAGGCTAGCAATACAACTTACATGCGAAAGACAATATTCCAATGCAACTCCTCACAAACAGAAAGACAACACTCTACATCCGGAAAATGATAATAGAGTCTACCGCATGAGATCCATCTGAGAAGTATCCATCTACTCCGTTATCATAGAGAATATACTGAGATAAATGACTTGCTCCAAATACTACTAGTGGAATTACGTCGACTGAGTTTGAAAGGATATCTAACGAGCTAATTCGGCGAGATCAACTTGTATTTTCAAATAACATTTTCAATGAGTTTCGTTTAATACATTATCCTTGGAAGTGATCTCGATTAATTCCCTTCAAGTATTGAAGCACCATATGGTGAAGGTCTATGTAAGAAGTCAAGAATTTACTAACGTCGAATTTACGATGAGGTTTAAAATGTCTCGTTTATGCGAACACTCGAAGAACGAAGTTAGTCTGCAGTATAACCATGAATACAGACATGATTTTCTGCAGAATGATAAGCAAAGAATATATAAAGCTGCATCAGTGATCTTTATGATGTCTGATAAGAAGTACATCAAGTACACAAACTCAGTCATTAATCCAACCTATTGCCGATCTCTGATTTGATGAATCAGAGAAGAAAAAAATCCCTATTCTCTGTATTCCTTATATCATTTTTGTCATCATTACAATAATGTACAAAAGTGAACAAGAACCGTTTTGCTCGTCTACGTAATCTTGTTTGTCCCCTTTTTTAAAATAATTTAAACAAAAGTAGCTAGAGGACGATTCAAGCGCAGTCATGCATTCGACGAATATATCACTTTTTGATCCGATTTGAGCAATTTCGATTCCACTTTGAAAAAACACAACAAAGGCACAAAAGTTATACGATGAGGAAATGTGATCCTAACTATCCACGGAAGATGCAAACTGTGAATCTAGTCGTAAAATACGATATCGGCTGCAAAGCACTCTGGTTTATAAAAATCGTCCGCTTGATATTCGATCACTATGTCCATTTCTATTGGCATGAAACAGCGGTATCAGATGTTGATATCCTTCTTTTAGTACATCTAAAAAGCTAACTTAATACTGGAGTAGTTAGTAATCTAATTGTCTCTTTGCTTTGAAGTTCGTCTTTCTGATCCGATAGAAAAGTTTTCTCGGCAAAGTCCGTGTGACAGATGTCATGACGGTCAGGGTCAAGTAGCTAGCCTCGCACCAATCAAACTGAGCATCGCTTTGGTTTCATTGGGGGAGTATTCAACAGAACATTAGTCGGTCTAATTATCGAACAATGACTACAAAAGAAACATTACCTGAATTCTCTATATACACTGTTGTTTGTTGTACGTTTTACATGAAGAAAATAATTCATCAAAACGATTCCAGTTATTGTGATGCCATGTGGTACTGACTCCGTCGTTCAATCACAAGTAATTATGTTAAGATTCTTTTTGAAGTGACTCGCATCAATACTACTCTTGAAAATAATGACCGATATCATAAAGACTAATACCCTAGTGCCCATGGGCGGTGATCCGGAGGGACTGGGGAGACACGTCCACCCTCGAATTTCTTTTTTAAAGTGCAAACAAATTGAATAGCAAATTCTGACTAAAACCGGCAACACACTTTGAGGCTCTGGAGGGCCCAAGTGTTGCGTTTAGACTTTAAAAAAATTCAAAAAAAACTTCTCGCCCGTAATGTAAAACTTTCTACTCAATTTACCTACTATACTGACATTTACAACCGGGCCCTCGGACTGCACATTAATTACTGGCAAAATAAAAGTTAAGTGTGAAAAAAGTTTATTGTTTGTCTTTATAAGTTTTTTTGCTATAAAGGAATGTAATTTCTTTACACAACAAAATTTCGAACACCTGTGAGCCAGAGGGGTAGTCACTTCCGTCACCTTCGCTCCTCTTATGTTCACTCGTCCCTCGCATTTCGCCCCCACCCCCCCCCCCCCCCCCCCATCGGTCATGAAAAGAAATCGCCGCCCCTGCCTTGCTCTTGCTTTCCGCCCCAAAACCTGAACAATTTGATGACATTTTTCAACATGCAGTGTTAACACATTGTTAAGCTCAAGAATGGCATCTATAGGTCTAGCTCAGTGATAAGAATAACCTCGTCCATTGAAGGTGGAAATGCATTTCTTTTATTGAAACGGTAGGGGAGATAAAGCTAGTGTATACCTTATACAAACCGTAAAACACTTCTAACATAAATGGCTAATAAATCTACACATACTCTGCATTTTGGGTCGTTCATAACGTACGGATCCTAGAGACGATGTCCCTGAGTGCACTTCTAAGTCCCATGAGAGGGGGCGGAAGAAAAGTGAAAAGAAATAGTAGGAAGGAAACCAGTGTAACTTGAATATATGACACTAAAAAATAAAAGAGATGTTAGAGAAGATTCGGATAACCCTAGTTTCTGCATGGTGACCTGAAGAGGAAAAGAGATAAAAGGGTGAAAAGCTGAAGAAGAGGGAAAAGGAGGAGAAATGGAGGAAAGAGAGACTGAAACGGATAAATAATACCGACTTATAACGATCCATGTAGCGACGTGTCAACAACTAAAAAGCAGGTGACATGCGGAATAGAGTTATGTTCTGAGGAGCACCAAGGAGGTCTAAGGAGCACCTACAGTATCAAGATTTTAACAGAGAGCCGTTGGGTGTGAAAGTGACGAACCCAGTGTTTTAGTTCAGTGACGTATCTACGCCTAAAGTCACTTCAGGGGGTAGATCGAGGTCAAAACAGCGAGATAATTCGTTGATACTGGTCTTGGGCCGGGCCTCGAAAAAGTAAACGAAATTTGGTTTTTTAACCAATAAGGATAGGGATATAATAGATAGCGTATTCAGGACTTTGAAATACTTTCATACCAGAGACCACCGTTGTTTATTTGAGGGCGTGAGTGGGGATTGGGCGGCAGGTCATCTTGTAAAAATAAGTTTTAGAACGAAAATGGGAAGCCGAAAGGATGTGCTAAAAGCTTCAAGCACATCATTTGGGAATCGTTTTTTTGTGTCATCTTATATTATGACAACATGTTTACGTATGACAATTTTTTAATTGATTTATAACGTTAGTTGCAGTGTTTATTTACAGCCTATAACTGCGCGAGTGACAGGCCGACATACACTGCCTTTCTATGAACTAATTAGTTTTAAATGAACATAACGAGTAATTAAACAAATAGTTTGAAGGACGGTGTGTGATATCCTTGAAATAGTGTCAACTTTACAGATTAAGCTTAGACACAAACCACTTATTTCTGTTAGATGCAAATAGATTAACCTCATGACAGCTCAGAAATAGGATAAGGTTATCCTTGCAACATTTTGTAGTAAGGAGCACATTCCATATAAACTTTTAAACATTAAAACCATGCTTCAAGATGATATAGAAGCATTGCAAACATGACCTTTAGTTCATTATGATAGTCTATACGTTTAAATCATGATTTTATGTAATTTGTATTAGAAAACTTTGGTGAAATACAATCAATTTTAGTACAATAGTATAGTATACCGTATTTCGTTATGTTCATGAAAACAAGATGACACCGCTGTTGTTTGTAATGATCATTCTTTATATATCTCTTCTTAGGTTTAATGTCGGCTGGAATCATTACTTGTGGAGGGGTATTCAATTCAATTCATTTATACACTCAATACATAAAAACAGATACATAAATTTGCGTATGAACGCATATGACAAATATAAAGAGATGGACATAGTAAATCAGTAGTTGAAAGCACAAGGAACAAAAATTGAGTGGGGATCAGATTAAAGATCTATTTAAAGATCTTGTAAATTCGACTCCATTTTAATGTATAAATTGCATTGTATACTGTTGCGTGTACAACAACAAGGGGAGAGAATGCATAGACAGCTGAGCCATAGAGAAACGAGAGAGGAAGAGAGAGAGAGAGAGAGAGAGAGAGAGAGAGAGAAACAGAGACAGTCAGATAGGGAGAGGAAGGAACATGATATGAGGGGGGATAGGCAAGATGAGAAGTAAAGTTAATACATAGGATGAAATTAGACCCAAGCAGAATAATAAATTAAATAAAGCATACAAACCAGGGATATACCAATTAACATTGAGGTAAACAACAAACAAGAGGTGTGAATAAGATTTTAAAAGCCTTTCTTTGTATTGTCTCTTGGAAACGTTCTGAGAGCATGCATAATATTTTTGATTAGCTGGCAATGCATTCCATAGTTTGGGACCTTCATAGAAAATATTTTTTGAGTATATTAGAACACCTAACAAAACAATTTTCCATACGATAACAACGTGTTATGTAAGTTACAGAAGGTAATTTTAATCAATCAACGACATGTCCCCAATTCATAGCCATTAACATCGTTCATTAAAACTTTTACGATATATGACCTAGCTGCATGAAATATAACCATGGTAATTTTGTCAAACTTACCCGTTTTATCCAGATGTAAAGATTCCAAAATAACTGAATCTCTTAGGGCTATTCCTTCATTCTTCTCTTTTGATAATCTTTCAAGAGGCTAAATAAACACAATGATCTGTTAAAAAATGTTGAACATGACAAGTCTCATAAGATCATCACGCGCATATCCGTCTCCAGACACGTAGAATCCTAAAGCGTGGATATGTCCCATAAGTCAATCCCAGATCAAGACATATACAATCCAGCTCACAGTATAAAATAAAATTCTTGAAGCTAGATCACCATTTCGTCTGAGAAGAACACCAACTTCTTGTTTTTTTCCAAAGTAACAGAGTAAAAATCAACGCTAAGTGAATTGTGACGTCCAAGATTTCGATGTCATCTTTGATATAATTCCTGACGGGTTTGAGCAGACGTGATGTTATGGTCTTTCATATGTATAAATATCTAGCTCATGCAGTGTAAGTCAGGGAGGGAGTGAGTTCTACGCTTCAACACCCCATATAAAGCCTTTTCCTTCATTCTTGGCACGACAAAATAGGGGGAGGGGCGGGGCAGGGGAGAGGATTTTCAACGCATGAACACAGACAAAAACCCGTTTTACCACGATACATGTAGACACATGAGTGGGACAAGGATGGTCGAGTGCTGCTTTGGGAGAAAGAGGTGACAGTTTTGTTGACACATTCACCCAAAGTGCCACCTCTTTAACACAATTCCTTCAAATGAAAAGTTCTCTTAAAATATATAACGAGTATAAAAATGCGTAGGGTTTCAACAACTTGTTCTTGAATGTGTGCTATAAACATCACTCACCGACATTATCTAGATGTTATGTGTTGAAAGGTCGAACTCATCAAAATGTATGTACCTCCAATGTAATTTCATAGATGGATGCTAAATAAACCCATGAATTTACTGCCTCGATTATTAATCCCAAACAAAAAAAATCTTGGCATCAAAAACTACCATTGGGTATCGTCAATGTCGTATGTTACATTTTGTCATTAACATGTTTTATATTTTGTATCAGTTTATGTGGGGTTCTCTATTATCAAAATCATTTAGATGGAAGTAATAAATTAACTTTCCTCTGTAAAGAACGCCAACATGAATGAAGAAATAATTTGCATAAACTACATTTTGTTATAGAAAATGACTATTTTGAACTGGTTTATGTCAAGCAAGCACTTCTAATATCTCTGTTAGGATGAGGGGGTGTGACGGGAGACTGTAAGGGTGCACGTTATGCAGGGTATAAATAGGTCCTTGGGTTTGAGGGCTATTATACCGAGATGCTTACCCCCGAAACTACTTCACTTTAAGTATGGCTTCAGAGCATGAAATCAGTGAATGAAATCATTCAAGCTTAACACCCAAACAAAAACACACAGATTTGATAACAGGGTTTAAGTAGGTAGAAGAGGAGAAATCCACCCACCCAAATACCTAGCCCGGTGAAAACCCTTTGATGCAAAGAGGAACAAGAAAGAAAAGGATCTTGTGGGTCAAAGAAATCTAAAGGTATTTTGCACACATTATTTCAAAGTACGGAAATAAAAGCCAATTCATGCTTTCAAGTGAAGTCGACAAAGCAGCTTTGTAACGGTTAAAACGTAAGAAGAAAACAAAGAAGTCAACAAAGACTCACTTGTTGATTTTTTGTTTCCTCTTAGCGAATAGAGATAAAAACTAAACATTATATTGGAGAGGGGTAATAACCCATACATGTACTATTCTAATTCATTGGAAAAAATAAAAATACTAAAAACATTTGATAGCCCAGAACATTTGTTTAGAATGAATTTCGTTGAATCTAAGATCTAAGATGTTAAAAATTAGATGTTAAGAATAAGGCTTTGAAATAACACATGCTTACACGACGCGATGTATGTTTATGTCTCTTTAAAATGATGAATTGGACCTGAATATACATGACATGCATATGGAACCGATATTTCTCTAAAGTAAGAATCATATACTTTTCAAAATGTATTTCTTATACTACACAAGAAAGTAATTTTTCTACTTGCAGAATGCTTACAGTGTGCATAAACGTGCCTGAACATAATAAAACATAGCATAGAGGTTTGTAAATCCAAGGATATCTTGCATTGAGATGAACAAAGATAATGCTTAACAATATCTGGCTTCCTGGGAGTAGAGTAAACTTACTATCCAAATTAATCTTATTCACGACATCTACCAATAGCCAAGGACTAACCTACTTAGTGGGCCTCGCAAGACATCTACTGACATAAGGCATCGATTGTAGTATTATACATAAATAGGGTGTGTTAAAAACAAACTTTTTTCCCCTCCTCTCACCGTCACCGAAGGTGGTGTCGTTTAATAGGCATTATGTTTTCGGGTTGTCCGTCCGTCCGGTTATCTCGCTATCGCGATTTCTCAAGAACCTCTTGATATATGAAATTCTAACTATTAAAAGAAAAGGATGTGTCATCATAGGAAGACATTCTGATTAGATTTTGGAGTAATTAAGTTAAAGGTCAAAGGTCAAAAAGTTCAACTTTTGAAATTCAAAGTTTTCGCCTCGTTTTCGCGATATCTTAAAAGGCGATGCGCTAGTGCCCTTTGGTAAGGCATTAATCCTCATTACCAGGTCCCTCGGAGAGGACATAAAGCCGTCGGTCGTCTGGTTGCTTACTTACAAGCTTTTATGCTTTCTTAGCAGTCAGGTAAAATAACCATCAAATTGATCACATTGATCGGAGAACCATTTGAGGTTGGAGGTTAATTTCTGAAATTACAGGTTTATCCTTGATATCGCGATATCTTAAGAACCATAAATTCGCGCCATGACCGTCATAGAGTAAGGACCTCCTCCGTTTCGCTCCGCTCCTCTCCTCTCCACCCAATACCACGCCCAATACCACGTGCCACGTGCAATTATTATGGCACATCCCAAGAGAGCCCGCCAGCGCTCGGGCGCGGATGGGCAACTGAGAAAAGACCTACGTGGCAGCCCGCAGGAGCTTTTACCTTCAATTCAACAGCTGCTCGATGCTCAGTCAGAACAAATTTGGAACAAATTTCAGATGGAAATTCGAGGACTAGAAAGCAGAATAACTACAGAAATTAAGCAGTTCGAAGCCAAAATAGCTGAAGTTATCACTTCTGTCGACTACAACGCAAATGACATAGAACATTTGAAAAATGACACCATTCCGAATATGAAAAAGCAAGTGGAAGAAGATAGAATGCAATTAAAGGAGGAGATAGACAGACTAAGCACATACATAAGCAGAGAAAACTTGGTGTTTTTAGGAATTCCGGAGAAGGAACCTGAAAATGGGGCGGAGAATGTGTCCAAGGCTGTATGACAAATAAGTAGGAAAGTTAAATTAGGGGAGAGGGGAGAGGGGGGAGGGGACTGCCATGCAACGTTTGCAAAGGCAGTCTGGTTAATCATTATGTATGATTCGCCACGCTAACTCTGTTATTTGTCTGTTTCATGTTGTCATCTTATGTTTTCTTGTGTTCTTTTCCTTTTATTTCCCTTTCTTTTTTTTCTTTTTTTCAAATATGGGTTCTCGAATATTTGTAGTAGTCTCATGTATTTATACATATTCTTTTTCTTTCTTAGTTTCCTTTCTGGTAGGGAAGAGGGTCGTGAAGTTGTTTCATTAAAAATATTAATTTGCCAAGAGATGATCCCTTTATCTGCAAGGTCGGAATTTATAGAGGGTCCCAGCTCATATATAGATAAGGGTTTATTTCAACAACAAAAAGATGGATAATAAAGGGAACTTGTTTTCATGTAACTATCTTACACTAAACGTGAGGGGAATTAGAGATAGAAGCAAACGAGAAAAAATGTTTAATTGGTTTAGGACAAAGTCTATAGATATAATATACTTACAAGAAACATACAGTACACCTGATATCGAAAAGAAATGGCAATTGGAGTGGGGCGGGAATTGTATCTTTAGTCATGGTACAAGCCACAGTAGAGGAGTTTTGGTATTAATAAATAGTAAGTTAGACATTGAAATTAGCGACACTTGTGCAGACATAAATGGAAGATATTTATTGATTAGATGTAATATACAAGGTCAGAAGATGTTGCTAGGAAATGTTTATTTTCCTACTGGAAATAACGAAGGGGAGCAAATAAAATGTTTAATGGATTTAAGGGAGTTGTTGTATAGAAACAATTCAGAAGGGAACCCAGTAGTTCTTGGAGGTGATTTTAATGTTATTAGAGACAAGAACTTAGATTATTTTGGACAAGTTACAAAGAAGCAATCAAAATTCAGTAGCAAATTAGAAGAATTCATGGATGAATTTAAATTAAGAGATGTATGGAGAAATAAAAATAAAGATAAAAAACAATATACTTATAGACAAGGGAATCCATTTATGCAAAGCCGTTTGGATTATTTCATTATATCAGAGAATTTAGAACAGATAACATCCAAATGTGACATTATTCCCTCCTTAGCACCCGACCATTCAGCTGTTAATTTGGTTCTGCATGATAGAACGTCTAGACAAATTCAGGGTAAAAGGGGTTATTGGAAGTTCAATAATAGCTTGGTAAATGATAGAGACTATGTTTTAAAGATGAAGGAAGAAATACAGACTTTAAAGAACAAAATGTTATCTGAGATAAAAGACAAGAGAGTATTATGGGACTATATCAAAATGGAAATACGCAGGTTTACAACTAAATTTTCAAAGGAAAGGGCAAGGGAAAGGAAGGAAAAAATAGAAAAGCTAGAAAAAGAAATTGAAGACTTGGAAGAGAATCTACTATCAATCAATAATGTACATTATAAAGATATCCTTGAACAACTGAAAATTAAGAAACAACAACTAAGAGTATTTTATGACTATATTAATGAAGGTTTAAAAATACGATCAAGGGCCTCTTGGTATGAATGTGGAGAGAAGAATACAGCATTTTTTAAACAGCTCATGGAAGCAAATAGAAAGAAAAGTGTAATACAGAAATTAAACGTAAACGGAAAGATTGTTACTAAGGAAAAAGAAATTGTCGAGGGAATAAAACAGTTTTACAGTCAGTTGTATAAAAAAATAGAAGTTGTACTAGATGGAGGTTTAGAATTTTTCCCCAGTAACATGCCAAAATTGAACGAGACCTTAAGGGGTTTAGGTGAAGAAAAGATAGTAGAAAGGGAATGTATAGAAATATTAAAAAATATGAAATTAAATAAATCACCAGGAAATGATGGCTTAAGTGTAGAGTTTTATCTTAAATTTTGGCCGGTAATTGGAGATCTAATCCTTGCATCTTTTAATGAAGCCTTTAATCATGGAGAACTATCGGCCTCTCAGAGACAAGCAGTTATTACCTTGATACATAAAAAAGATAAAGATTCAGACTTTATTAAGAATTACAGACCGATTTCTCTTTTAAATGTGGATTATAAAATTTTAACAAAGATACTTTCAAAGAGATTGCAAGAAATTTTACCTGATATTGTATCT